GAAAAATACTCTGTTTGAAATGTAACAAACACTGAATTGAAAATGAAAGTCTTTTCATGCCAGAAACATAACACAGGCAGTTGATAATGTCATTTTTAAACTTCAGCCATTTGAATGTTAATTGTTGGTGTATGATGGGTGTTAAGAATGTATTGAGAAAACGAGCTATTCATTTTCATGATATAGTGATATGTGATTAAAAGAGGGTAGGGTGGGTGTTTATTGGTGTATGATACTGTGTGCGGTCTAAAACAGACAGTTATACAAAGTAATTTGCTATTGATTTGATTGTAATGATATAACATGATTGCTTGTGTTTCTAACTGAGTAATAGATGCATTGTGTGGTAAGTGTTTGATAAAGTTTCACTTTTGACAACATGATTCATTCATTGCAATTATTTAGTTGGAATGAGTAAAACAGAGTTATTAATTACCTGATAGGCATCATTAATATCACGCCGTAAGTAGTGTGAGTATTTGTTTAAATAAAACTATTAAGGTCCTACATTTTTTTGAACAATGAAATATATGTGGACAAAATATTAATTAAAAAATGATTAATATTGTCTGATCAATAATGATAGTCTATATAGAGATCTGTTTTTAAAAAATTGTAAAACAAGAGTATAAATAAACATTATACAAGTTATTGTGACCCAAAATAACTTTTATATAAATACGTATATTATTAACTTGAAAATTCTTGAAAACATTGGATAATGCTCATATTAAACTTGCTTCAAGGTTAGGCAAATGATTTAAGGCCTACTTGATGCAGTTAGTTGTGTAATGGACTCTGAAATGAAGATGGTGTGTGAAAATTTGAAAATATACACAGGTAAGTTAGTAATGTTAATGACATTTGTTATGGGATTAATTAACATACAGCTAATTACATATTATATGACATTTGTTATAGGATTAAATAACAAACAGCTAATTACATATAACAAACGCATACAAAATAAAAGTCTTATCATGCCAGAAACCTAACACATGCAGTTGATAGTGTCAATTTTAAACTTCAGTCATTTGAGTGTTAATATTTAAGAAGTATTTTTAGAGATTAAGACCTTGAGAATTCAGTTTCAAGACATTCACTCAACAACTTTCACAGCAAGTATAACAAAAATTGTATATCCATTTAAGTGACAGAAGATTAACAAACACAATTAACCAGACAAGTATCAATTTTTTCTCTAAACAAAATACTTATCTTCCAAGTGGTGGCGTAGGTATGCACACTGTTTAGTGTTGATCGTATAAATGAGGGCTTAATCTTTAGCACTTCTAGATCTGAAAACAACATTTACCAGAAAGTTAGATCTAATTCGATTAAAAGTAATAAACAAATATTCAATCCATGAATCACAAGACACTTATCTTTTGCAAAAGAATCTTGATAGGCTGCGGTTGTTCATGGCATAGATATTTCAACTCGTTTGAATGAATTTGATTGCAACTTGAAAACACATACGAAACAATTAAAATGAGTAATCAATCGGAAATGGAAATTGTGAAACTAAGAAATTTTGTATATGGAAACCGAATCCAAACTTACCGGTGCAACAACGATGGGAATGCAATTGATGGAATCCAAGAAGACTGCGTGACATCCGACAATTGGAAGCAAATCGATGACTGCGTCCTTGGAAGGAGTAGGCGAGGGGTCTGGTGGTATGTGTGACAGAGATTGATATGCGAGGGAGAGGGCTGAGGACGGTAGGTTAGATGCAGAATGGTAGAGGCGGTGTAAAAGCGTAACAGAAACCCTAGGGATGGTATCGAATATATCGATCATGCATTCTAACGGGTATAAGATGGGATGGGCTGGACTTCTAATGGATAGATGTTTATTTTTGGACCCATTTAATATATTGGAAATTAATGGGCTGCAATGATTGGCTGATTTTGAAAAAAAATTGGTATTGTTATTACATTAAGAAGCCTAGTTTATGAGGTTTATGAAGTTGTGGTGAAGTGACTTTATTGGCTGATTCTGTTTATTTATGAGGGAAAAATTAAATTATAATTTTTTAATAAAATAAAGAAACAATTATATGAAAAAAGGCTAAAATAGTCATCTGCTTTAAGAGCCGTTTGATAATACTGAAATCAGCTAATTCAGTTGATGTTGCTAAAATTTATGAAGTTTTATATAAACTTGCTTTATCGGCTGATTCTTCTTATTTATGGGGAAAAATATATAATTTATTAATATAATAATGAAAAAATTATATGAAACAATAGCTAAAATGGGTATCTATAGTCAGGTCATTCAATACAGCCAGAAATGTAACTTTAGTCTTACTTCTTCTTATCACGTTCACAGTGAAATTATTTGTGATTATCGGAATTTACATCATTTGTGATTAATCTTAGCTTTTAGTGAAATTATTTATGTTTAAGATTAAATTTAAACTATATTTATGAATTGTGATTATTCATGAAATTTATAGATTCATGAACTGATAGGAATAACTATAGTTTCTTACATATGTGGTTAACCATTCTTTCATCTAGATGATAACGCCAACGAACGTGCTGTAAACCGAAGGAGTTTACAAAATGCTCGGTTTCATCAATCTCTTTGTACCAGTGTTACGGGAACTATAAAGCAAATATCTTCAACTATTTCCTCTTTAATGGATGTCACGGTTGGTAAATACAGCAAAATGTCCATGAGCTACCTTTTTTTAACACATATTATTCAAGTAATTGTATCGTAGACTCTTTGATTAACAAAAGTTATCCTCCTCATAATGTAGTTAAGGAGTCGAGTGCTCGGACGTTATTGTCAGATGTGTTTGAGGTTCTTTGAGGTGGAATTGTTTGATAAACAAATGTTAGAATGTTTTTCATTAATTGTAGATTATGTCCATAACATTTTAGCTTAAAAATTGATTGAGAATTCAACTCAATAAATTATTGAAAAACAATGCGTTATTTATACATATTTTGGCGCAATATTTGTCAATAAGTTATTTAGCTGACTTCCCATTTGAATTTTAAGATGAAAATTTGTAGATATAATATACACTTTATGAAGAACATGCTCACTAAATTTATCAAAAAAATTGATCTTAAAGTAGCCTAAATGGTTTTGACCATACAAAACTTCATGTACATCCAAATGCATCAGAAAAGTTCTCAGTAGTATATATAACAGGGCCCACCATGGGGCTCAAATACAAAACTTCATGTACATCCAAATGCACCAGAAAAGCTTCTCAGTAGTATATTATAATACTACGATTAAAAATTTGGGCTCCATGGTGGGCCCTGTTATATAGGACATGTTAAACATGTTCAAAAACGGCATTGTAATACGCGATAGACAAATAACCTTTGACAAATATTGCGTATTATAAATGCGAAATAGTAGATGATGAATTTATTTTTATGATTGGATTTGTTTAAGTACAGAGCTCACACTATTTGTTCAGAGTGATCATTTGTAATAGTCTCAAACATTTTAATTATATTATTATATTTTAATAATATAATTAAAATATACTAACCACTTTTATTTAAAAAATTAATATAGGTTCATCAAATTGCCCTCTCAAATATATAGACACACAAATGTGTGGATGTGTAAATTGTGAAGTTTACGTAATATTTTTAGCGTTGATGAGAAATTTCAAAAATATTTTTATGTGATTTAAAGTTTTTAATAGTTAAAAATTAATACGTGTTGTTTTCAATAAAATGGATAGTATTACCTTTCCTACTAATGTGGTCAACCATATGTTTTTACGCAGATGATAGTGACAACGAGCGTGACGTAAATCGAAGAATTTTGCAAAACGCTCGATTTCAAGAATCTCTTCATCACAGTATTACATCATCTATAAAGCCTATAACTTCTGTTAGTTCCCCTCTGGTGGATGTCACCAATAGTAAATTTATCAAGATGTTTTTGGCTTACTATTGAAACCTATTTTTAAACTAATTATACTTTTGATTATTTTATTAACCAATGTTGTGTAATAATAATGTAGTCTTGGTGTCGAGTGCTCAACCATCGGTATCAAGTGTACTCTCCAAACAAACACCACTTACGAGGCTGAATCTAATTCAGAAGAGATCGTATGATCTACGATCTACGTCAGTTTCATCCAATCACACAGATAATATCTTGCACAACACTAATGTTTCTTTGTGTAGTTATTTCACGCAAGATTTGGATATCGATGATGTTGACGTAGGTGACTACCAGATAGATGAAACCGTGAATGTTGTCTATAAGGAAGTATTCCATAATCTCTAAAATTTCATATTGTATTAAAATCACATTACATATTACAATATACTTATGTATTACAATTTCATTTTTTAATATTCACAATTTATGATATTTAACTTTATTTTCAATTAGATTTATAGTCTAACGGTAATTATACTCATCCAACAGACTCACCCACCGTGCATCGCACGGGTGCTGTACTAGTTTATTTAATACGGAGCAACTAATTCAACACAGACGATTATATAAATCATTATTTGTTGAAAAAGTTAAAGAAAAAAATTGGTAAGAAAGTCAAAAAAATTGGGACAAACTAAAGTGTGCTCCGCATGAGTGTTTTAAAACTGGTTATGTCTTCTTGTTTAATTTGATTTTAGTATTTCTGAAAATGCTTGATTTAATTTTTTTTGTCAGATTTAGAATTTTACAATTTAAACATATTTGAATGTGTGTATCTATCTAATTTTAGGTTCCTCATTTACTTTAGTTTAACCATATATTAATATGTCATGCCTCTTCTATGATCTTGTGTTTGAATGAGTCTTCTACTAAACTAGTACGGAGTATGATACTTGGATTATTAGATTAAATAAGAATAAGATGAAAATAAAAATTTCTAAGTAGCTATTGACTTATTTATTTGGCTAAAACAGTTGGTACCCATTATCTAAAAATAAGAATTTGTGATTCACAACATTTCTCTCTACTATGCACAACTCCCCATCACACAATACTCACTATCTTAAACTGTGTGTCAAACATATTTGGAAGTTATAATAAGAACCGAGGTAGTAAATATTTCGCCCATATGAAAAAACCATGTGTCCGACAGTGAATTTGAGTAAATAACCTTCAAGAAATTGAAAACGCCTACCAATTGTTTGTTAATTCTTACTACGTATTTCTTATTAAATACATACTCCCTCCGTCCCGCTAGAAGGTTCCCGTGAATGGTTTACGATGCTTGACTGACGATAAAGCAACTTAATCCCTGTTCACATTTTGATTATTTTTAGTAAATAAAATTAACATATACAGAAACTACATTAAAACCGCTGCAAAGCCTGATAAGAAAAATGTAAATTTGGTAAAAATTTGATTTATAAAGTAAATGATTAAAAATGATTTAAGTTGACCATGAGAATAGTGGACAGAACCTTCTGATGGGACGTATGGAGTAAGACTTTAGACTATTGATTAGGTAGCTCAAGTTCTTCACTTTCAACTCTCTTTACATTGTCAACAGCTGCCTCAACTTTTCCAGTTAAATGCTCAATCTGCTCCCCAATATACTTCAACAATGTAGTTAGCTGCTCTCTGTACAGCTCGCAGAGCTTATCCTGATGGTCCAACTCCATAGTCAGTTCCTCTATCCTTTCATCTTTTTTGTCCTGCAATTTTTTTTTATTACAAATACGGAGAACAATGACTTCAGTTCCTTAGGACTTGAAGATCTATTAGAAGCTAAGTTGGTAATGAACAAATACAATAAAGATTTTGATTCCTTTATTCTACATAAACTTAATGATTATAAGAGCAAAAAGCTTAGTGATCAAGAAGCATTTGAGCAATAGGGTGATAGCTTTGCTTCCCAGTAAAAAAACAAAGCTACAGCTTGAAGAAGTAATTGAATTTCCATGAGATGTTATGACTTATTAGTAGGATACTGAAATAACTATTCAAGAATTAAATAAGGATCCCTTTAGTAGTAAACTTTGGCTTATCACCCAGCTTTTGACTGGCATATTTTCTTGGTGAAATGGATGTTAATAAACACTATTTCATTCAGAAAATTCAGCCATTTCAGCATAACACATGCTACTGAAGGGCCCTAAATGAAGTGAGAAGTTTATGGGGGAAATAATGTATTTAAAAGGGAAAAGTAGAAGTAAACTTACCATTCCATTTACAGAAGGAAGACTAGGGACACCCAAAGGATGAGTATGCTCAATCACTGATCTGGTAACAACCCATTTTCCAGCCTTATTAACATTTACCCTCATCATTGCCTTGCAACCAACTCGTGTGCTGCTCCGTAACCTCCTTTCTGAACAAACCTGATCTTTCTTATTCCGACAATAACCCTGCTTATTACAAAAAAGCCTCCTAGAAAGAATTCTCATGTCCACTGATGAGCGCCCAGACTGATCAATACGCATTACAAATCCAGAACGCCTAGCATACTTGTCATAAAACTCCCTGGCAGCATATTCAGAATCAAACACCATTCCCACATATGGCACTTGAAATGTATAGTCTTCTTCACAAGAAGATGATCTCCTTTCTGTAGAAGCAGAACTATCACCAATAGTAGCTCCAACCTCTATGTCCACTGCCAAAAAAGAAACCTTGCTATGGTGTAATTTAAAACAATTCTTCTTGCCATTAAGTGATGGACTTTTGCACAATTTTCCACCAAAGATCAATTAACAGACCCTAAAGTGTAGAATTGTGCTTTGTATTTTGAATAGGTGAAGACGGCAAATACACATTTTTCTAAAGGTTATCAAACGCGCAAATATTATAAATCTCAAGACAATATATATTCAAAACAAACTAACCAAAATATAATCAGACCACAAACAATAAATGACAGATCAATTTACGTGGAAACCCCAAAATGGGAGAAAATAAGGACTGGAAACCGGTAACAAACACTTCTACTAATCACCAATGAAATAAGTAAGTACACAAAGAGTTTATTTGGTAACACTAAAATTGGCTGAATTGACCGCTAAAGTTCATGAAATTCTTTTATGTATATTTTAAATATACGAAAAATAGCTAAAATATTCAACTTATTTCACTTATTACACAATTCAACGTGCGAAATCAAAAATTACGTGTTTGGTAAAAACATTGGTTGATAAGACCGATAAGAAGGAAATAAGACCACGAGACAGGTTCCAAATGGCTTCTCTAGATAATACTAGAGCACATACAAACATTAAGAAGCACCATAAACATGACTCATAAGTGCTGAACCCAACAATTTTCCAGATTAGCTAGAGCTGAACACAAAATACATACAAACATTAAGAAGCACCATAAACATGACTCATAAGTGCTGAACCCAACAATTTTCCAGATTAGCTAGAGCTGAACACAAAATACCTACTGTTGGGATCGTATTCCGTCTTTTCCGGCTCAGGTCTCCAACCTCCGTCAATGGGTCACACACACCACTCTAGGGTAGACCTCTCCACTCACTGAGCTTTTTCTCCTACCACCAAGCTCACACACACACAAAAACATTTTCACCTACTTAAGAAGCTTGCAACGAAACTCCAGCCGTTGGATATGAAGATTGGGGTCAGGAACAGCTTGTCAAAAATTGCTAGTTTAACTTTCCATCAAGCACCAAAATCAAAACTGGTAGCTTTAGAAAAAAACTGCATTTCTGCCCCGCTCTTCCCTCTGCCTGCACTCCCTCGTCAAGAATCTTCAGCAACTGTAAAAATAATATATCCAGATTATCAGATTTCAGAGTGGGAGTGAATAATCCACTGGTTAGTTAAACGTGAATATATACCATGGTCCTAATTTAGCAAATACAATAATTCTTTCATTTTAGCTGATTAATCTGACCGACTGACCGTATAAACTTAGGACTGATCAGACTGCTATATTCACGTAAGAACTGTAGAAGAGCACGAAGAGTTGGTACGTATAGTATTAAGAATTTATTACTATTCCAGAAGAAGAGGTTACTAGTTTGGAGCTTTGGATAGAGGAGGCGTTAGCGTCACCGTAGATTAGCATTTATTCTAATTCTAAACAGGACCAAGTACCCGTCGCGATGCATGATATATATCTAGAATATAATACAGAGTACATTAACATATTATTTAAAATTATATTTTGTTAAGATGTTACATACATATTATGTAATTTTGCTAAATAAAAAAGATAATAGCTTTTATACGGAGTATATTGTAACTTTGATTATATCATAGAAGTTGCATGTAAGCAAATGAAAATTTGGACTGTGTGAAAAAATGCAAGTAAAACTAAAATTAAAATTAATGATAAAGTGTAAGAGTAAGCTCTATGTTCCAATGAAATGACACGGTAATACAATTATTAGTGGGTCACATGAAACTTTATAAAAAAGAATAATCATATATCTTCATAATATACAAAAAATATCATAAATTTTCAAAAAAATCATTTAGTCCACTAGTGTTGATAGATGACCCTCATCATCAAATATATGAATCTTTAACCCATCCATTGAGGTGTCACTTAAATGACAACATACAATTGACCATGCATAAAAATGGAATTTGGATGTATATCCACTTGTACAGACATCATCTTTGATTGTTTTTTATGTCATGGACTCATGGGAAATGAAACGATGATTGAGGATTTCCAGCGTTAAAATGTGAAAAAACTCTGTCATACGACGGGACCAATGATAACTGTGAAATAAAAAGTGTTTGACCAATACTTTTGTCGGATATAATCTTCATCTCCAAAACACATTTACTATTAGCCGCGTGAGCGAGAAATCATATTAGGTGCAAACTTTCATTTATCAAACTCTGTTTTGGTGCAAAGAATTGTTCCAAGCTAAGTTTGCAACATTTTATAAAGTGCAAGCATAAACGTATTAGATGGTTTACAAATAAATACAAAGTAAATATCCATTTATATTATTAAGATGTATATAATTCATACAAATATTAAAAACACTATGCCAATAAGAGGTTGCATCTAATTTACTCAAAAAGTGGAGAACAATCATATGTTAATGTGTTTTTTGTGGTTTCAATCAAGCCTAAACAATTCACATTGAATAAAGGGGTGCAAATACAAAAAATATTTAAAATTTGGTTGTGATCTAATTCCATAGTAAAATATAATTATTCAAATTTATATTAACAATGATAATTCCATTGGTATGTGTTGTGACATTTTAGTTATTACTATTGTGGTTTAGGATGTTTTAAATTTGATAAAAAATTTATGGTCTAGTCTGGTCTGGTCTTAAGTGATTTGGTAAATGTCATATTTTTGTGTATGTTTGCAATTATCAAAGTATGGTTTAATATAGTCTATTTGACTCTAGTCTAACCTGAGGTTGAACGCTATATCTTTTTCTCTTCAATTCAATTGTTTTCAAACACTCCGAATTTTACTATTAATCTCTTTTCACCTAATATTTAAAATAAACCACTTATGAAAAAAAGATGCAAAAACAAAACTTTTGTGGTGGGATGGGCCCGTTTGGTGACCATACTTTTTTTAGGTTATCATGGTTTATCAACCATTTTTTCCATCAAACGTGTAACTCTTGATTTCACGCATTAGAATGAAGGTTTCCTATACATAGTAAATAATATATACTTCATCAGCCCGTTTTGGATGTTTTTACTTGGACAGAATTTTGTTGATCTAATCTGGTATGTTTAGGTTTGGTCTGGTATGGTCTGAACTGTTCGGGTCTGATCTGGTAAATGTCTGGTCTTGAGGTATTTTATAACTATGAAAGTGTGATCTGGTCTGGTATGTTGAAGTTTGATCTGTTGTGGTCTGCGACTGAAAACAGTCCAAGGAAACACAATATAAAATACTTCTTATATTACATTTTAACTTTTTAATGTCCCTAAGCTCTTGAGAATCAAAATTACTTTTTCATTTCCCACATGATCTTAATTTTAGGAAGAAAAAAACACCTACATTTTAGCATTATGGATACACATATAATATGTATATGTATAGATATGCATAACTTAACATGTATACATATTTAGATAAAATAATTAGCTTATACTCCCTCCGTCCCGAAAACAACTTCCCACTTTCCTTAAACGGACGTCCCAAAATTAACTTCCCATTTCCATATTAGGAAAGTTTTTAAAGGTAAAAACTCATAGATGCCCTCTCCATATCCCTGCATCCTCTGCCTATTCGGTGCCCCATTTTCTCCGAACCCATTTGCTTTCTACCCCACACCATTATCTCTCTCTGTCTTCTAACCCTCTTCACCTCTCCACTCTCCTCCCTTCTCATCCATGGAGAAGACAAACATCACTGTCCTCCCTCAAATTCTCCCGCGGGATGATGAAACCCTGGGTCCTGAATCAAATCACCGTGATGATGAAACCCTAGATCTGAAGAACCATGTCGTGCTTCATGAATCAAACCTCGGTGATGATGAAACCCTAGATCGAAACATGCATGTCGCACTTCCTTCTGTCGAAGCTATGGTGAACAAACCCTCAGTAGAAGCTATGTCAGACGAGGAAGGTGTAGAGTCTGACCAACGAGGGTGGACTTCGGAAACTGACTCTGGATGGGCCATACGGAAGAAATGGGGGTCTGACTGCGTGGAGGACACTTACGAAGGGTTTCCAGCTTCAGAGGACGAAGGGGAGGAGGAGGTGAACTCGGAACCTCGATGGTATCCAGAGGAGTTAGACCACCTCTTTGGCCATTGTCGTAAAAGGCCGTGGATGCCTTGGGGGACTGATTCCTCATAGGGGAGGCTTCTAATCTCATCTCTTTTTTAATGTTCAAGTTGTAGAACTGAATGTGTTCGTTTATTGAATGAAGTTTGTGCTTTTAGCTTGTGATGCCCCTCTCTTTTGTGAACTGAATGTGTTCGTTTATTGAATGAAGTTTGTGCTTTGAGCTTGTGATGTCCCTCTCTTTTGTGAACTGAATGTGTTCGTTTATTGAAGTTGTGATGCCCCTCTATTTTATAAACTGAATGTGTTCGTTTATTGAAGTTGTGTGCCTAAATCTAGTAGTCTGTGTATCTTGACTGATGATGATGGGGGCCTTGTATGATCTAAATATTGTGAAGATAGCTTGTGAATTTATGGATATTTGGCTTACTCTCTCCTTGTGTCACCCACTTGTACGAAGTGTTGGAGACCATTTAGGGATTTATGTGCACAAGCAATTGATGTTTATGTGTAGCATATGATTTGGGCTTACTAAATAAAGTCTCACTTCACATAGGGTGGTTTTGGGTGTGTATTGTAAAACACTTGTAAATTTTCAACCCTTATGTGCTTAGATGGATTGATAAGGCAAAACATTAATTGTTTCTTCTACATTTGAATCAATGTGGCCATACATTTAATACTTGTATGCCAAGAATGTAAGAAAGCACAAAAATAGTGTAATATGGGCACATATGCCAAGTACATACAAAAACAGTACCCCTTCTCTATAAAGGAAGTACATACAAAAAAGATTACCCTCCATGTGCCTGAGTTCATTCTTGAAGATCTACTTGATCTTCACTTATGAACTCACTTCCATGGCCCTGATGTGATGCTTCTGCCTCAAGTGTTTGCATCTCTATGAGTGCTTGTTTTGCTTCATTCATTATGGCATGGCTGGTTTCCACATTTGTGGGTAGCAACCCCTGTCTTTCAAGTTTTTCCTTTCCAACATGCCTCAGCTTGAAGTTGTTCCCCCCTCTGTGCTTTAGTATTTCCTCCATAACATACTGAAAGCTGAGGAACACCCTGTTTAATGTACTAGGTGTGAGAGCATCAAATGCTAATGTCACAGCTTGTACTAATTAGGAAATTGACTTAGGGGCTTGTTGTTCCTTTAATGAGTCAATGGCCCTAAAGAAACCCAAGTAAAGCACATTTAGGTCTGGACTGTTAGGGGGTTGACACTGTAACTGTATGTCCCAACCATTTTCACTTGCACATTTGATAAAATCTGCATCTGTCGTAAGCACATGTGGCCTTGCATTGTCTTGCTGAATGATCACTTTTTTGTTCACTCTGTCTGGCCATTTCATTTTGATGGCAGGCAGAACTTGCTGCAACAACATGTCTCTGATTACATGCCTTGTTACATTTAATATAGGCTTTGTCTCTAGTGTGCCTGCTGCCCTATTCTTACTTGATCTCTTAGCCTTCTCTTGAAATGTGAAAGGAAATATACCTACTTTCCCATCCCATATGACATCCCCTACATCCCCAAACCTTGGTCTGCCCACAACTGCTAAAAACATGGATCTTCTTCACTACTGTGAGTGTAAAAGTTGGTTGTTTCCTTAGATAAGAAAAACCACTTTTCATCAATGTGAACATGGTCATAAAAATCATGAAAAGTGGGATTTCTTGGGGGGTTATGACTTATCAAGTGGCCTAAACAAAACTCTAGCCTTTTAATCTTGCCTGCCTCTTTCAATAAAGGTTTGATTGCATTTGAGTGCCTTTTGATTTGTTTAACTTTCACTAGTCTGTGCACGGTTGACTTTGAAACTTGCATGGCAAAGCCTAAAGACCTGATGTTCTTTCTCTTGTGAAGTGGGATTTCCTTTATGTACTCCATGTTAACTGCCACCCTTTTTCTGCCTACATTTCCTTTTTGTAGGCTTTGAACATTAATGGATAACCCTTGGTCCATTTGTTGCTTTGCACTTTTCCACAAGTCACGAATTTCCTAACAGAATTTCAACAACCCTACTTCGCTTTGCATTTGTTAACTTCTTCCATTTGTTGGTTGGTGCAGGAGCATTTAACATCATGGAAAGATGTGCCTGGGTTGCTGTGTTGTTGTGGTTGGCATGAGGAGTTGCAGGAACTTCAGGCTCTTCAATGCTCATTTTGTTGTTGTTGTGAGAGTAAATGAAGAAAGATAGGGTAGATATAAATAGAGTGTAATGGGAGGGAAATTCAAAACATTTGGCCGAAATGGTGGAGGGAGTTTTTTGTGGTTGAAAGTGTTTAGCATAGATCATATTGTTTTGCAAAGATGGTATAATAGTGTTAGATGTGATATGTAATGAGT